AGAACAAGGAAAGCTGTGGTCAGAGATGTATGTGCAAGAGGGCTCAATTAAGAAGTACAGCAGAGTAATTTGCAGCTGTTGAAGTTTGGATGATTTACAGGCACATGTGAATCCTGCAACCACATTTCATTTTAGCCAATTTGTGCTATTTAACCAATTTGTGCTATTTAGCCAATTTGTGCTATTTAACCTATCATGCATAGTAGCTACTAGTTTAATGCACACAGTACTTAGAACATAAGACAGACGGAACACTGCAGCAGGCCTACTGACCCATACGAGGCAGGTCCAATTCTCCCACCGCCTTAAGCCAATGCCTTAGCCTAGTTAGGTCAGGTCACATTCACTTAACCCCTTGACTGTTTTGGTCACATATATACATCTTACGAGCCACCGTGTTTGACGTATCTATACGCAAAAATTCTAGCGGCTTCAAATCAAGCGGGACAGGGCTGGTAGGCCTACAGGAGAGAAAATGGGTCTGAGTGGTGGGTGTGCACCCTGTGAAAAAAATCTGGGACTCAGTGGTGCATTGTGGGAATGCCATTTTGGTAGTTCATTTTCAACATGCCTCACAGTAAGAAGTACCTCACTCCTCGGCGGATTGGAAGTCTTTTGTTCAAAAGTGATGGCTCTAACAGCGATGGACGTGTCAGCGAAAGTGAATTCCATGGTTTACAAGTGGGTGTGACCGAAAACAGTGCCCAGGATAACGTAATTAGTGATGAAAACCCAGATGACTCACGACCTTCCACCTCTGGTGCTGGGCCAGCTCGTTCACATTCACCTGTACCAGGACGAAAGAGGAAACTATTTGCCCGTGTACAAGACTCAGATGTGAGCAGTGATAGTGATAGTGATTTCAAAGCTACTGAAAGCAGTTCTAGTTGCGACAGTGAGGGTGAATATTCACCTGTAAAGTGGCAGTATATATGACGTAGCATGCGGTCTGGTAAATCTTGGAGCACATCCCGTGGCCCTACACCATGAACTGATAGTGAAGATGACGATATTGTTACGATGGGTATGAATGAAGTGAGTGAGGCAGGTGGTGGTGGTGGTGGTGATGGTGATAGTGATGGTGGCACGAGTCATGTGGCACCAACAGCGGGCCACGCTACTACCGATGCTGCTGACTCTGCACAACCACAACCAGCCTCACCCAACCCCACACTCCCACAACATCCACAATCACAACCTGCACAACCACGTTTCAATATCCCGAACCCACCATCTGACCGCATCTGGGATTGGCAGCAAGGTCACGAGTCTGTTCCCAGTCCCCATGACTTTGATGAAACACAAAGTGGAATACAGCCATCATGTACACCTGGGAACAATGCCACTGAACTGGAATGTATACAGTTGTTCTTCGATGAACCCCTGATGGACATTATTGTCAAGTAAAGCAATACATACTACGAGTACACCATGGCAAACGATTCTTTCACCGAGATCACGCCTACACCAGTGGAAGGACACAACTGTGGCAGAGACGTATCTGTTCTTTGCCACAATAATGCTTATGCCACATGTGTATAAGCACAGTGTCAACACATACTGGTCGACAGACCGCCTGATTTCAACCCCAGCTTTCAGTGACATTATACCAGTTAATGGATTTGTGCTACTGTTACATATGCTACACTTTTCAGACAAAATAAGGCCTGACAGAAGCAACAGGTTATATAAGATCAGAAATGTGCTTATGTACCTGAAACAAAAGTGGTGTGTGTATTTTTATCCCTTCAGGAAGCTTGTTATTCATGAGTCTTTGATTTTGTTCAAAGGAAGACTCTCATTCAAGCAGTATATACCAATGGAAATAATTTTTTTTTTTTTTTTTTTTTTTTTTTTTTTTTATTATCACACTGGCCGATTCCCACCAAGGCAGGGTGGCCTGAAAAAGAAAAACTTTCACCATCATTCACTCCATCACTGTCTTGCCAGAAGGGTGCTTTACACTACAGTTTTTAACCCTTTGACTGTCGAAGGGCCAAATCCTGAAGTTGCTTCTGGTGTCGCAAAATATTCGAAAAAAAAAAAAAATTATTTTTTCTTATGAAATGATAGAGAATCTTTTCCCGATTGTAAAGACACCAAAAAAACGAAATTTGATGGAAAACTGACAGAATTACGCTCTCGCGAAGTTAGCGACTTCGGCGATATTTAAAAATCGGCAATTTCGCCCACTTTGAGCCCTATTTTCGGCTAATTCCGTTATTCCAGTCAACCAAACTCATAACTATTTCTTCAGAACTCTATTTTTTCTATTGATTGAGTACAAGAAACTGCCCATTTACCGATTTCAACTACCCAATAACATGGTCAGAAATTTGCAATTTGGCCAATTTCACGAAAATTAAAAAATACGACAATTTCAAAATAAGGTCCAGAATGAACAATGCAGACATTCCTGGCTCTAAAATAACATTTTCTTTGTTCATCAGTCATGTCTCCAGGTCCCTGTGATATTACTCTTGCTTTTTATTTTGAAATTTTATTCAAACAAAAAATAGAAGATTTACTGTAATGCAGACTACTGCAATACTGTAATAATTGTAAAAATTACATCAACCCATTCATGACTGCGTATTAGAATGGCTATTTGGACATTTATTGGACAATGACATCATTTGTTCACTTTTGAACATCGGCAAAAATCAAACATTTCCTGTACTTTGTGCTCCATTTCCAGGTTCTTTTTATAGTAAAATTAATCAAAATCACCTCCATTTCTATAATATAGTTTCCATTCTATCAAATGAGACCAAGAAAACGAGAATACAACCACAAATACTATACGAAAATAGACCACAAAGTCGGCATTTTAATTAAAAAAAAACGGTCGGAGTTTTTTTTTTCTCATTATGCACTGCGTGCTCCAGGAATTTTTTATGTGGTGCACACTGACCACACAGACCCATTCTCTCACATGTGGGCCTACTAGCTTTCTCCTGCCTGATTTGAAGCCGCTAGAATTTACGAGTATATATACGTCAAACACGGTACCTCGCAAACGTATATATACGGCCGCGACAGTCAAAGGGTTAAACTGCAACATTAACACCCCTCCTTCAGAGTGCAGGCACTGTACTTCCCATCTCCAGGACTCAAGTCCGGCCTGCCGGTTTCCCTGAACCCCTTCATAAATGTTACTTTGCTCACACTCCAACAGCACGTCAAGTATTAAAAACCATTTGTCTCCATTCACTCCTATCAAACAATGGAAATAAATGGTATAAAATACCGACACAATGGAAATATAAACACACATGCAGCATAATGTGATCCTTTATTGACAACGTTTCACCCACACAGTGGGCTTTTTCAAGTCACCAACAGATCTACCTGGGGTGGAAGGTACGTGAGTGTTTATAGTCAGGTTCAGAATGCTGAGGTCAGGTGGAGAATGCTGCATCTGATGATGTATCGAGTGGGGTTGTAGTCTAAAATCTTGGGTAGCTTGGAAAGGAGATTGGATAAGTTTGTGAGCAGACCTTCTGCAGTGTAATTCCATTCCTATGTTCTTATGTGGGATAGCGATGGAGAAGTTTCTTCGCAAGTGGTTCCGCTATGTTATAGAAGCCATTATCCTGGTTGAAGTTGTCGGATATAGGAATGGAAGAACACTGCAGAAGGTCTGCTCACAAACTTATCCAATCTCCTTTCCAAGCTACCCAAGATTTTAGACTATAACCCCACTCGATACATCATCAGATGCAGCATTCTCCACCTGACCTCAGCATTCTGAACCTGACTATAAATACTCGCGTACCTTCCACCCCAGGTAGATCTGTTTGTGACTTGAAAAAGCCCACTGTGTGGGCGAAATGTTGTCAATAAACGATCACATTATACTGCATGTGTGTTTATATTTCCAGTATATACCAAGGAAGAGGAAACACTTTGGTATAAAGTTATTTGTACTGTGTGATTGCAAAAGTGGTCTGGTTTTGGATATAATTGTGTACAATGGCAGTAAAACATTGCAAGATACCAGGAGGTTAATGGGTATCTCTGGTGATGTGGTTAGAACAATGATGGAACCATATCTTGGTAAGGGGCATATTTTATATACTGACAACTGGTACACAAGCCCTATACTCGGTGATCTCTTGCGAGTGAACATGACGTGAGTGGCACATGTGATGTTCTCCAGAACATCACTCCCTCTGAGATCATATATACCCAGGATGACTCAAGTATCGAACACATTCGTACAGCATAATGATGTCAATGAGATAAAGTCAGTTGATCAAATGAAAATGCTGGCCCACAGATGGCTCCAACTTCATCCTGTTCCCTACTTGTATGTCTCATAACAATTAAAATGCTTTCAAATCAGCTGATGTAGGTAACAGCTCTTAGCTTGCCAATAAAGTTAGGAATCCTTAACCTGTAAATAGCTAGTCAATAAAGCTAGGGATCCTTAACCTAACCTTGTCAAACCCTGTGTAAAAAAAAAAAAAAGAGGAGAGGAGAGAGAGAAAAAAAAAAAATTCAACAGTTGTCTTGCCAGACATCACACCTCAATGACCTTCCAAAGTGCAACATCTCCACTTCTCCTTCAGGGTATGTTCACCCCTTTGAGGACTCAAGTCCTGCTAACTGGTTTCCTTAAATCCCTTCATAATGTTACCTTGCTCACAGACTTATACCGCATTCACTTATTATTATTCTTTCTTCTTTCAATGCACCGGCCGTATCCCACTGAGGCAGGCTAGCCCAAAAGTTAAAATAAGAGTTTCTTCTTTTACATTTAGTAATATACACAGGTGAAGGGGTTACTAGCCCCTTGCTCCTGGCATTTTAGTCACCTCTTACGACACGCATGGCTTATGGAGAAAGAATTCTGTTCCACTTCCCCATGGAGAAACTCATTATAATCATTATTTATATACAATAAACCAGTTCATATTATACTACACTGTATGTTATAAACTGAGCATGACCCTTAGTAGAGCTACTAGAAGGCACATTTTCCTAGAACAACTTACTGCATCAATGGCACACTCAGTGGCAGAGAGGTCAAGAGTCTTGAGGGTGTTGGGTTGTGCTAAAAAGTTGTATAGGTTGTTGACATCATCTCGCAAGGAGTTGCCAGCCAGGCTCAGGAATGTTAAAGTTTGACACATATACTGAAACAAAAAAAAAAGAAGCAATCACAAATGTTTCTAATATTATAAAATACATTACATTCTGGAGTCAGAATGGTAACAAATTCCCACTCCAGGCAGCATACTCCACCAATATTCAAAACTCTGAACTTACTCACCGTAAAAAACATCCATACTAATTATTGGGCCTACTACATACATAGAACACTAAACTTGGATATTAACCCTCCCCTCAAACTTCTCCTTACCAACCTCAACAGAACACATGACCATAACACAAGGCACAGATCACTCTTATGTTCCCTGTGTCCATCTCACACTATGTAAAAACTCAATGCACATAAAAGGCCCAAAAATCTGGAATTCATTACTTGTGAATATAAAGAAACACTGTCTGTTTATCAATTCAAGACTATTCTTAAAAACCACTTATTCACCCACAACTAAATAAATACTGAGTAACTCTCTCATAAATGTATAACCTGTGACTATCAAACTATGTTTCTTACATTACCTAATAGAATACTCCATTCTCTTGAATGCACAGCAACTCATCTAATGACCATATGACCCGTTTCTGCACTACAAATCATTAATTTCATTCGATTTGATCGGATTATATTATACATTGTTTTATTTTTTTATTAACACATTGACCGATTCCCACCAAGGCAGGGTGGCCCGAAAAAGAAAAACTTTCATCATTCACTCCATCACTGTCTTGCCAGAGGGGTGCTTTACACTACAGTTATAAAACTAACATTAACACCCGTCCTTCAGAGTGTAGACACTGCTTCCCATCTCCAGGACTCAAGTCTGGCCTGCCAGTTTCTCTGAATCTCTTCATAAATATTACTTTGCTCACACTCCAACAGCACGTCAAGTATTAAAAACCATTTGTCTCCTTTCACTCCTATCTAATACTCTCATGCACGCTTGCTGGAAGTCCAAGCCCCTCAAACACAAAACCACCTTTACACTCCCTCCAACCCTTCCTAGGCCAACCCCTACCCTGCCTTCCCTCCACTACAGATTCATACACTCTCAAAGTCATTCTGTTTTGTTCCATTCTCTCTACATGTCCGAGCCACCTCAACAACCCCTCCTCAGCCCTCTGGATAATTGTTTTGGTAATCCCGCACCTCCTCCTAACTTCCAAACTACGAATTCTCTGCATTATATTCACAGCACACATTGCCCTCAGACATGATATCTCCACTGCCTCCAGCCTTTTTCTCATTGCAACATTCACCACTCATGCTTCACACCCATACAAGAGTGTTGGTACAACTAAACTCGCATACATTCCCCTTTTTGCTTCCACGGACAAAGTTCTTTGTCTCCACAGACTCCTAAGTGCACCACTCACCCTTTTCCCCACATCAATTCTGTGATTCACCTCATACTTCATAGAGCCATCTGCTGACACGTCCACTCCTAAATCTCTGAATAAATTCACCTCCTCCATACTCTCTCCCTCCAATCTGATATCCAGTCTTTCATCACCTAATCTTTTTATCCTCATAACCATACTCTTTCCTATATTCACTTTTAATTTTCTTCTTTTGCATACCCTACCAAATTCGTCCACCAACCTCTAACTTCTCTTCAGAATCTCCCAAGAGCAGTGTCATCAGCAAAGAGCAACTGTGGTGACTCCCACTTTGTGTTTGAGTCTTTATCTTTTAACTCCCCACCTCTTGCCAAGACCCTCGCATTCACTTCTCTTACAACCCCATCTATAAATACATGTTATGCTACAAATTTGTACAACTATAATGCTACTTATTTGAAATACTCATCTGTACTTCATGTTGTAATTTGTTAACTGTAATTTTCACCACGGAATATATCATTGCTAAGTTAATCTTAACCCGTAAACAGTCCAAACGTATATATACGTTCGCTACCCTAGTGCCCCGAATAGTTTGAAAAATAAAAAAATCTTTTTTTAATGAAAATAAAGAGCACCTTTTTCTAAGTGTTATAGGATAAAAAAAAAAAATTAGGGTAAGTACTTACAGAGATATGAGGCCGAGAAGTTGGCACTGGATGCTCACCTGACAGCAACATGGAGTCTTGCCGCTGCCAGAAGTGTTGCCGATATACCTTTTTTTCTATTTTCATATTTCATATAATTTTTGTTCTGATAATTGCAATTTATAGTAGTTTTTGTCATTTTATAACCAAAGGGCTCAACAATAAACCATCTCAGACAACTAATCACCCAACAAAAGGCTGCAGTCAGAATGATGATAAATTCCCACTACAGACAACACACTCCACCAATATTCAAAACTCTAAACCTACTCACAATGCAAAACATCCATACTTATTACTGCACCTACTACATACATAGAACACTTAACTCTGACATAAACCCTCCCCTCAACCATCTCCTTACCAACCTTAACAGAACACATGACCATAACACAAGGCACAGATCACTCTTTGATGTTCCTCGTGTCCATCTCACGCTATGCAAAAACTCAATGCACATAAAAGGCCCTAAAATCTGGAATTCATTACCTGTGAATATAGAAGAAACACTGTTTATAAATTCAAGTCTCTTCTCAAAAATCGCTTACTCACCCACAACTAAATAAATACTGAATAATTGTATCTCATAAATTGTATCTCATATGTATCTCATTATTGTATCTCATAAATGTCAACTTGTGACCCAATCAAACTTTGTTACTATTTAACTTCATTACCTAACAGAATACTCCATTCTACTGATTACACAGCAACACAGTAAATGACCATATGACCTGTCTTTGTAAAACTCATTTGTACTAAATTGTTTTACATTAATTTTTGTACCACTGAATCTTAAGTTAATTTTAAGCCTGCCCATAATGCTCTGCATACAAGGGGCTTTGGCATGCTGCACTTAAAAAATTGTATTCCTTGTACTTCTCTGTATCATGTTCAAATTAATTAATAAATAAATAAATAAATAAAGAAATAAAAGGTGGACATTTACACCTGCCTTCGTCATTTACTATTGTCTTGGAATATATACAATTTATAGATCCCAGCAATGTTTTGAACATGTGGAAGTATACGAGGAGGAGGAGGAGGAGAAGGAAGAGGAGGAGAAGAAAGGGGAGGAGAAGGAAGGAGGAGGAGAAGGAAGGAGGAGGAGAAGGAAGAGGAGGAGGAGAAGGAAGAGGAGGAGGAAGAGGAGGAGGAGAAGGAAGAGGAGGAGGAGAAGGAAGAGGAGGAGGAAGAGGAGGAGGAGAAGGAAGAGGAGGAGGAGAAGGAAGAGGGGAGGAGAAGGAAGAGGAGGAGAAGGAAGAGGAGAAGGAAGAGGAGGAGGAGAAGGAAGAGGAGGAGGAGAAGGAAGAGGAGGACGAGAAGGAAGAGGAGGAGGAGAAGGAAGAGGAGGAGGAAGAGGGGAGGAGAAGGAAGAGGAGGAGGAGAAGGAAGAGGAGGAAAAGGAAGAGGAGGAGGAGAAGGAAGAGGAGGAGGAGAAGGAAGAGAGAAGAAGAGGAGGAGGAGAAGGAAGAGGAGGAGGAAGGAAGAGGAGGAGGAGAAGGAAGAGAGGAAGAGGAGGAGGAAAGAGGAGGAGGGAGGAGGGAGGAGGAGGGAGGGAGGAGGAGGGAGGGAGGAGGAGGAGGGAGGAGGGGGAGGGAGGAGGAGGGAGGGAGGAGGAGGAGGAGGAGGAGGGAGGAGGAGGAGGAGGAGGGAGGGGAGGAGGAGGGGGGGAGGAGGAGGGGGGAGGAGGAGGAGGGGAGGGAGGGGAGGAGGGGGGAGGAGGAGGAAGGAGGAGGAGGAGGGGGGAGGAGGTGTGAGGAGGAGGAGAGGAGGGAGGAGGGGAGGGAGGTCGGAGGAGGAGTGGAGGAGAGAGGGGAGGATGAGGGTGTAGCGGAGGAGGAGTCAGAGGGGAGGAGGAGGAAGGGAGGGGGAGGAGGTAGGGGGGAGGGAGGAGGTAGGGAGGTGGAGGGGGAGGACGGGGAGGTGCGGAGTGAGGAGAAAGAGGAGAAGAATAATACGTATATTATAATAATAACAGGTAATAAGTTCCCTTGAAGCATGAAAAACAAAGTCCACCCTGACAGTTACATGATAAGATGAAATAACATCTGATAAGAGCTGATGTTTGATGAGCATACACAAGGGTGCAGTGATAACACTTGATAAGAAAAGATTAGAGGTGACATTTGATGAGCATCGACCCTCCCTTTATTTTCGCTGGTACACAAACATGACTATCGTCTGTCTGTCAAGCTCCCTGTCTATCTATCTGTCTAGCTCTCTGTCTCAGAGAGAGCCACAAGACTCGGTTATCACTTTTACTCATACCTTCAAGCAGAGTATAGCACTGTCTGGAGTTTTTGGGTTATCCTAGGTAATTTACACTATGTATTTGTGTACCTGTCAGACAGATATAGACAGAGATAGACAAGGATAGACAGAGAGAGTGACAGGGATAGACAGATACAGACAAACGGAGATGGAGCCAGGCTGCCAGCAGCCAGCCAGCCATGCACCTGGCCAGCCACGCACCTGGCCGGCCAGCCAGCCAGCCAGCCAGCCAGAATTGTTTCTCTTTACTTAGGGCATAGGTTATAAGACATTCTGAAAGGGTGTTGCACAAATGTTGCACATGAGTTATTATCAATATTTTTTGATATTTCATCAACCACTTATGGCCACATCCACCTCAAAGCCACTAAACTCAGGGTCAAAATCACTTTCGTCTTAACCCTTTCAGGGTCCAAGGCCCAAATCTGGAGTCATGCACCAGTGTCCAAGAATTTTCAAAAAAAAAAATGTTATTTTTTCTTATGAAATCGTAGAGAATCTTTTTGTGAAGGTAATAAAACAAAAAGTACGAAATTTGGTGGAAAATTGACGAAATTATGCTCTCGCAAATTTTGATGTGTCAGCGATATTTACGAATCGGCGATTTTGCCGAATTTGACTCCTATTTTAGGCCAATTACATTATTCCAATCAACCAAATTCTTAGCTATTTCACTAGTATTACTTCTATTCTATCGATTGAGCACAAGAAATCGCCAAGTCAACTGTTTCAACTACAAAATAAAGTGATCGGAAATTGTTAATTTGGCCAATTTAACACAAAGTTCAAAATATTCCAATTTCAAAATAGGGTCCAGTATGAACAATGTAGGCATTCCTGGCACTAAACTAACATTTCCTCTGTTCATTAGTTATGTTTTGAGGCTTTACAAATAAATTCCATTTTGATTTTTTATTCACATAATGAATTTTTTATTCCACACCAAAAAATAGAAGATTTACTGTTATGCAATACTGTAATAATTGTATAAATATCATCACCATATTTGTGAATGTATATTAGACCCACCAGCTGGTGTGTATTAGACGTGTGAGGTCGTTTGTTTACTCTTGAATATCGGCAAAAATTTAACATTTCTGCTACTTTGAGCTCAGTTTCAAGCCATTTCCAGTGCTAAAACCAATCAAAATCATCTCTATTTCTGTAATATGTCTTCCATTCTATCAAATGAGACCAAGAAATCGCAAATACAACTATAAAAAACATACGAAAAAACACTGCAAAGTTGCCGTTTTAATCGAAAAATCATGATTTCATTTTTTTTCTCTCATTATACACAGTGTGCTGCAGGATCTGTTTTATGTGGTGCACACATACCACATAGATGTATTCTCTCATATCTAGGCCCAAATGTACCACTCACAGTTTATCAGAGTGAGCTGAGCTCATGGCGTAGATCTACGGTTTGGACCCTGAACGTAAAGCCGTAGATCTACGGGACGGACCATGAAAGGGTTAAAATGGGAGAATTAATACTACATGAAATTGGTGAAACCCAGGTGTTTGCTGCGCCGTTTGCTCTAGCTGGCGTTCATTTGAACTGGTGCTCCCACAAGGTACGTACTAAGTGGTCCCAGATTTTTAATACCCCACACACTGAGTGTCAGGACCCATTCTATGCTGACAAGGCGCCTCGGGCCAATTGTGCCAAATTTGAAGGCAGGAAAAATAAAGCGTATACATACGTTTGGGGCACTAGCGGTAAAAATGTATACACCTACCATCCTACTTACAATCTGCTCGACATACGACCACTTGACTTACGACCGCGTTTTTTATGCCAAATTTCTGGAAAATAAACAACTGTTTGTGTTGTACACAGTGTTTATCTTAAACCTTACAGTATAAAATACAGTACTAACAGCATAAAAAGTAAAGTAAAAAATGAAATACCAAAATAAAACAATAAAATAAAGTCGTTACAAAAATGTGACGCTGATATTCAGTTGTGAGGTTCGACTTATGTCTATTTCGACTTGCGACCGGTTGGTCGGAACCAAGCTCGATCATAAGTCGGATGGTACCTGTATATATGGTTGGACCGTTTACGGGTTAAACCTGCCCATAACGCTCTGCATACAAGGGGCTTTTGGCATGTACACCCAATCACTATTTCTCTGTACAACTATGTAACATGTCCAAATAATTGTCCAAATATGAACAAAGACTTGAAAAAATAAAAACTCCGCCTCTTCACTTGTTGCTACTAGGTTTAGTTTTCCCAGCTCCAAGAGCCTTATCATACCTCTTTTTAAAGCTAAGTATGCCTCTACTACTTCACTCCCCAGATTGCTCCACTTCTGATAACTAAGGCTGAAGAAATACTTCCTAAAATCAGTTTGACCCAGATGAGTTCCCAACTTCCAGTGGTGTCCTCTAGTTCATGTATCCTATCTCTAAAATATTTTGACCCTGTTCACAAAGTCAATGCCTCTCAGTATTTTATACATGATGTCCTTCTGTCCTCCAGTGTCATCAGACTGAATTTCCTTGCTGCAAATTTTTGCACTTTCTCTAATTTCTTGACATGCTTGACCAGGCATGGGTTCCACACTGGTGCTGCATACTATAATATGGGCCTGATGTACAGTGTTGTCAGTGGCCGCTTACCAAGATGTCAAAATGATATTCTTAGGTTTGCAACAAGTTTTGTGTGTGTGTGTGTGTGTGTGTGTGTGTCTGTGTGTGTGTGTGTGTGTGTGTGTGTGTGTGTGTGTGTGTGTGTGTGTGTGTGTGTGTGTGTGTGTGTGTGTGTGTGCGTGCGCGAGAGAGTGAGGGAGGTGTGTGTGTGTGTGTGTGTGTGCGCAAGAGCGAAGTGTGTGTGAGTGTGCAAGAGCGAAGTGTGTGTGAGTGTGCAAGAGCGAAGTGTGTGAGAGCAAGGAGTGTGTGTGTGAGAGTGTATGTGAGTGTGTGAGCATGCGTGTGTGTGTGTGTGTGTGTGTGTGTGTGTGTGTGTGTGTGTGTGTGTGTGTGTGTGTGTGTGTGTGTGTGTGTGTGTGTGTGTGTGTGTGTGTGTGTGTGTGTGCACGTGCGCATATGCAAGTGCATGTATAGTGTGTGAGTGCTTGTGCAATACAACAACCATGTCATGCCAAGGCATGGAGACTCAGAAAACAATTCTTATAGTTTTATAACATTCACTCAATCACCATCTTTCCAGTAGTGTGCTGTCATCACAATCAGATTATTCCTACTGCAACATCCCTACCCTCCTTCAGAATGCAGACAGTACTGCCATTCTCACCTCCAAGACTCAAGTCTGCATATCCGGTGTCCCTGAATTCCTTCACATAATTATTCAAGTACAGTGGGGCCCCACTTATACAGCAGGTTAGGTTCCAGGCTACTGCCAGAAAGCGGACATCACCAGAAAGAAGAATGCCATTTTTTCAATTTATAGATGATATAAATGCCAGATAAGTTTACACCAACGTATATTTAGTTTGCAACAGAATGTCATTAAAAACAATAAAAAGTAAAACACACATGCAGTACACTCATTATTTACCTTAAAATATTTGTAGTCTTAATGTAGGGCAAGAGGTTAGTGTTTACTGTAACAGGTCAGATGTGATAGGTATGGCCACCCCACCCACACGAAATATACATTTAGAGCACCCTAGAGCAATAAAATACATATACAATACACTCATTACTTACCTTAAAATATCTGTAGTCTTAATGTAGGGTGAGAAGTGAGTAAACGAGATGAAATGAATAAACGAGAGAGAGAGAGAGAATTAGTAAATGAGTATGTAAACAAACATGAATGCATCTAGTTATGGTTCACACACATTCATTTCCATGTCTGAGTTAGTTAGTTTTTATTCAGGTACAGGTACACAAATACAGCTACACAGATTATCATACATAGCAGCATATGCATAGATTACCTAGGATAAGCCCCAAAAAAGTTCAAGTGACTTGTTTCCATGTTTGTGAAGCTTAGCCATTATACAAACATCTTACATTGTGTGCAAGTTGTCTTCACATTGGTAGAGTAGAATAAATAATGAGCAACATTCCCACCATTTTTAGAAGGAATGAAGCTCTGAGTGAAGGCATAATTTTCCACAGTTTCCCCCAGTAATACTATTGTGTACACATTTTCTTCGATGTTGAACTAAAGAAAACGTTATTCTTTCCAACATTCCAACTAGGCAACTGGAAAAACATCTTGTATATAAGTTAAATTATTCTATTGTAGGTGTATTTATCATGTTTATACGTTACTTAGCATGTTTATTATATAATTTTTGAAAAAAAAATATAGATGGATTAATGAAAAATGTTTACACTAACATAATGTATAACATTTAACCCTTAAACTGTCCAAACATAGAACTATGTTTGTGCGCGTAGCGCTCCAACCTTAATTTTCTCCCTAAGAAACAATGTAAAAAACATAGATATACGTTCGGAGCACTACGCGTGCAAACGTAGATCTACGTTTGGACAGTTTAAGGGTTAATGTGCCTCTGAGTGATTATTATTGCATTTTATGATCATTATTAATATGGCATCAAGACTAATAAGACACACTTAGTGATTTTAATGTGTAGCTGCACGCCAGCACAGTGTGTAAGTTTACTTGAGTACCTATACCTAAGTTAATTATCAGAGTACACAAAGTATGAAAACTTTCAAACACTTGAAATTTTGGAAAGTTTCCAGACATACTGAAGTAATGTTCTCAAGGAGAATGTAAACAAACTGGGTGGCGTGCGGTGACTGTATTAGAAAGTCAGGTGGGGGGAGATATACAACAAGATTTGGTCATAATTTGTAATGTCCATATTATCGGAATGCTGTAAAGCAGGGCCCACTGTACTGTGAAACAGTGAAGCACGTTGGCAAACAACTTATTTATCCTTTTCATGGAATGATTAAATATACATAATGAGAATCTCTCACTGAAATATTACCCTCATATCAGAAATACTTAGGAATACTTTAAATATCAAAGGAAACTCAGAACTTACCTTATTGACTGAGAGGGAATGTGCTAACATGTTGACACCTTTACCAGTGAGACCACACTGAGAAAGATTAAGATGACTAAGACCTTTTGCTTGCCGCCCAATTGGGTTACTAATGTGTATAGCACCTAGTCGAAAATAAAAAGAACACATTTACTCAGTTGCATTACAAAAAAAAAAAAAAACAATTAATACTATAATGCATCTCCATAATCACACTGTTGGGTATCAGAAAAATCATTATTTGATAATATAAAAGTAGTACAAGAAAAATGTCATGATGTTCTAATATTATGCATAGAAGAATTGTAATATTCAAAAAATTTCTTTTAAAAATAAAATCAAGCGATAACTTTTGTTCTACAAAACTATCACTTTTCTCCTTCATATTCACCCCTAATATTAACTAAAAATTATAAATGCTCTAGGTAGTAGGTTGGTAAACAGCAACCGCCCAGGGAGGTACTACCGTCCTGCCTAGTGAGTAAAACGAAAGCCTGTAATTGTTTTATATGATGGTAGGATTGCTGATGTCCATTTTTCTGTCTCAAACATGCAAGGTTTCAGGTACGTCTTGCTAATTCTTACACTTAGGTCACATTACACATACATGTACAAGCATATACAGTGGACCCTCGGTTTACGATCACCTCCCAATGCGACCAATTATGTAAGTGTATTTATGTAGGTGCGTTTGTACGTGTACGTTTGGGGGTCTGAAATGGACTAATCTAATTCACAATATTCCTTATGGGAACAAATTCGTTCAGTACTGGCACCTGAACATACTTCTGGAATGAAATAATATCGTAAACCGGGGCTCTACTGTATATACATACCCCTCTGGGTTTTCTTCTATTTTCTTACTAGTTCTTGTTTATTTCCTCTTATCTCTATGGGGAAGTGGAACAGAATTCTTCCTCCGTAAGCTATGCGTGTTGTAAGAGGCGACTAAAATGCCAGGAGAAAGGGGCTAGTAACCCTTTCTCCTGTATAAATTAATAAATTTAAGGAGAAACTTTTGTTTTTCTTTTTGGGCCACCCTGCCTTGGTGGGATACAGCCAGTTTGTTGAAAGAAGAATAATTATAAATGCACAGAGCTCTCCATGTTCTCTGTTACAGTACCAACAGCAGCCACACACACAGACAAGATTCCAAGACAAACTGAGATAAGAGGACTAAGTTTGACTTTTTAACTAGCAACAAAATAAACATTAACCCGTAAACGATCCAAACGTATATATACGTTTTTACCGCTAGTGCCCCATACGTATATATATGTTTTATTTCTCCTGCCTTCAAGTTTGGTACAACTGGCCTGAGATGCCTTGTGAGCATAGAATGGGTTCTAACACTCAGTGGGGGCAGTATTAAAAAACTCTGTGATCACTTAATACCTTGTGGGAGCACCAGTTCAAATGAGCGCCAGCTAGAGCAAACAGCGCATTAAACACCTTGGATTCACTGATGTCATGTAGTATTAACTCTCCCATTTTAAGAGGAAAGTGATTTTGACCCTGAGTTTAGTGGCTGAGGTGGATGTGGCCAAAAGTGGTCGAGGTAATATAAAAAAAAAAACTCGATAATAACCCATGTGCAATATTTGTGCAACACCCTTTCAGAAAGTCTTATAACCTATGCCCTAAGTAAAGAAACAATTCTGGCAGGCTGACTGACTGGCTAGCTAGCAGTCTGTCTGTATCTATGTCTATCTCTCTCTCTTTGTCTTTGTCTATCCCTGTCTATCTCTGTCTCTCTATCTGTCCATCTATCTGTCTCACAGGTACACATATATACAAGTATACATAGTGTAAATTACCTAGGATAACCAACTTTGTCCTTGGAGGCAAAGAGGGGAATGAATGAGAGTTTAGTTTTACCAACGCTCTTATATGGGTGTGAAGCATGGGTGATGAATGTTGCAGCGAGGAGAAGGCTGGAGGCAGTGGAGATGTCATGTCCGAGAGCAATGTGTGGTGTGAATATAATGCAGAGAATTCGTAGTTTGGAAGTTAGGAGGAGGTGCGGGATTACCAAAACTGTTGTCCAAAGGGCTGAGGAAGGGTTGTTGAGGTGGTTCGGACATGTGGAGAGAATGGAGCGAAACAGAATAACTTCAAGAGTGTATCAGTCTGTAGTGGAAGGAAGGCGGGGTAGGGGTCGGCCTAGGAAAGGTTGGAGGGAGGGGGTAAAGGAGGTTTTGTGTGCGAGGGGCTTGGACTTCCAGCAGGCATGCGTGAGCGTGTTTGATAGGAGTGAATGGAGACAAATGGTTTTTAATACTTTATGTGCTGTTGGAGTGTGAGCAAAGTAACATTTATGAAGGGGTTCAGGGAAACCGGCAGGCCGGACTTGAGTCCTGGAGATGGGAAGTACAGTGCCTGCACTCTGAAGGAGGGGTGTTAATGTTGCAGTTTAAAAACTGTAGTGTAAAGCACCCTTCTGGCAAGACAGTGATGGAGTGAATGATGGTGAAAGTTTTTCTTTTTCGGGCCGCCCTGCCTTGGTGGGAATCGGCCGGTGTGATAATAATAAAAAAAAAAAAAAATCCAGACAAAGTGCTATACTCTGCTGGAAAGTATGAGTAAATGTGATGACCCAGTCTTGAGGCTCTCGTTGAGAAAGAGAGGTAGACAGATAGACAGGGAGCTTGACAGACAAATACAGACATGTTTGTGTACCAGCGAAAACAAAGCAAGGCCCTAATCTTTTCTTATCAAGTCTTATCACTGCACCCTTGCCAATGCTCATCAAACGTCAGCTCTTATCAAATGTTATCTCATCTTATCACGTCACTGTCAGGGGTGGACTTTGTTTTTCATGCTTGGAGGAGGAGGGTGCATCATCTTCATCTTCATCTTTATCGTAGGGGTTCTTAAATGGAGATATCGAGGGTTGAAGGTAGAAACACTTGTTGGATGGTTACGATATATTGTCAGACTGAGATGATGGGAGATGGAGCCCAGCCTTGCCGTGTACTAGTCTGGAAGGTCTGCCGCCGAGTGAGGGGGAGGCAGAGGTACGAGCCTACACATGCGCATCCCGTGACGTCACACAAAGTCACAGGCCTACAAGGGATCTTCTATCTAAAGCACATGGATGATACTAATATGCTATGCTATATAACACAGGGATCAGCAACTATGTTGACAGCTCGGTCATGTTACGTATGTCGTCTCGACATACACTACTATCTATAGGCTGAACAGGCAGGTGGTTCTGGGCTGATTCTATACAATAACAAATTCATATATAACTTAGAACTAATGGATGGTATCATAATGGATGTTACAACATGAGTTTTACGTAATGGGTGTTAACGTAATGAGTTTTAACGTAATGCATTACAAACTATAAGAGCAAATCATTGTACAATATGGATGGAATTGATCGATCGATCTGTATTCAAGCACTCTACGGATTCTGAGGAAGAATAAATATATATATACAAGGTGAAATTAACAGCAAAGGCATCTGGTGCACTCAGACTATTACTGTCAATTCTCAGAACACGGAGGGAACATGAATACAAAAAAAAATTCTGAAAAAACTTATCAGTTAACAACAAACAGTTGACAATTTACTTCATCTCGGACATCTAGTTATACAGACTATGTACATTTAAACCCAATTCTGCGAGGGTGAGGTTTACATATGCAGAATGGTTATCATCTCTGGGAGGATCGAATTCCTCTGCAATGGCTAACACATGCCTTGACTGAGGGAGACTTGAACGAGTATCTACAAAAGATACTTGTGGGTTTCTCATTACTTGTCGAGTACGCAAGGAGTAACGACATTCAGGTTGGTTTATCCGACTGAGTATCTGAGGTAGAGGTTACAGAGTCAAGAGGATTTTCAGCATCTGTCACATTAGTCTGGGTTAGCAATATATCAAAATCGCATACTAACTTCAAATGATCTAAATGCGATTCTTTGTACTTACCAGTACTAATTTCTCTAACCTTATACTTATTACCAGAGATATGTTCTACAACTCGATAAGGTCCGACAAACTTTTGATCGAGCTTTAGGCATTTCGGATGTTTTGTTGAAATTTTTTCAGCATTACTCTTGAACCTACTTTGACTTTTGATGGCTTAGCACGGCTATTAGTTACTCTAGTAAATTCTGCTGTTGATTTGTAAAGTGTTTCACGTATTCTTCTAAAAACACTTTGAGCCATGCTGGTACGAGTTGCTACGAAATCATCAGGGTTGTAATTAGGTTTCGGAGTGGAATATAACAACTCGTAGGGTAAACGCTTGTCTACACCATACAATGCATAATGTGGAGTATCATCTATTGAAGCATTGTAAGCAGAATTTATGGCACATTGGACATCTGGTATGACTTCATCCCAAGTTTCACCATTGGGGTTGATAGTGGCTCTCAGGACATCAAGTACTTTCTTATTGGTTCTTTCGGCTAACCCATTGCTGGCAGGATGATGAGGAACAATGGTGGATTTAGAGTTTGGAATGCTTTTTCTTGACGGAAGGTCCAAACAAAAGGAGCATCTTTCTTAAGCAACTCAGTTAGAGCAGCAGCTATGGAAGAAAAATTGGCAATGAAAGATCTATAAAAACCTGCTAAGCCCACAAAGGATCTTACGGCATCAGCAGTTTTGGGAGTTGGAAAATTTAGTACTGCAATTACTTTACTTTGGTCAGTCGTAACCCCTCTAGGAATGACTACGTGACCAAGAAACTTAATTTCCGATCTGAAAAATTGAGTTTAAATTTGATCTTTAAAATTTGGCTTCAAGCTTCCCAAATACTACATCAAGTCTTTTAATTGGTACCCACATTTTTAGACTGATGTTACGTCACAAAGTACACCATAAGGCTTTATAGGGGAACCCAAAAGTTTTTGTCATGAGCCTTGAAACTTTTTGGGGAGGATGTAATCCAAACGCCAACGGGGAAGTATAAAAACCGTAGGAGTGGAGAATGCAGTTAGCTCTTGGCTTTCCTCGTAAAGAGGACTTCCCAAAAACCCCTTGTAACAATCCAGGGCGAGAAGACTTTGTTAACCCCCGATTTTGCGAAAAAGGTAACCTAGTACAGGAAGGGGGAAGCATCGGGAATGGTTTTCGAAATTTAACTTCCTAAAGTCAATCACCGG